CATATAACCAAGGATTTAAAGTATATTCCTCTCTCAACTCTTGGAAGATCAGGAGGTCGTCCAGGAAATATTTTCCTTGTTGATGCTTGGGGTAATGATGATACCAATTATAACGAAGCACTTTTCGAAAGTATTTTGAAAGGCAAAGTGGTAAACAACGCCCAAATGAATGAAAGACCATCCAAAAAGATTTCAGATGTGGAGGACAAGAACAAGCAAGTGCATGCAATCGTGTTTGTGATCACTGCTGCCTCCTGTTCAGAAAAGTCTGACTGTGCATCCTTGATGAAGTATTATCATCTTGCTGTGGAGAATCATTTGTATCCGATTGTTGTTGTGACTAAAGTGGATAATGTCAGCGAAGATTTGAAACAACATCCAGAGTGCATGGACAATGATGAAGAGGTTACGAACGCTATTAGTGCCTTATGTAGTAATACCGGTATTGAGATTGATAGTGTATATCCAATCAGAAACCTATCAGTGGATATTCAAAAGGAAAGAAATGATTTCATTGTGTTGAGATGTTTGGAAATACTGGATGCAGCACTGTTGGCTGCCGATAGATTCTTTGAATACCAATGTGTCTTTGAATGGCGTCTTAACAAGATCAATCAAGAATCAGTACTTCCCACAGTTGCAAACAAAGTTATTCACTTGAATGCCAAATATCTTGGTCATTAAAATTGAATGTCAAATATCTTGTTCATTATGGATTCATTTGTTGGTGATGAAGAACGAATAAACAGAAATTTGAAAAGTATCGGGAACCGAATGAACAAGCAAATCTTTCTTTAGGAATGAGAAAGGAACTTCAAAATATCCCATCACACACGAAGTGAAACAATCCTTATCAGCGATCTCTAACTTTTGGAATGGGGTTAAATCTTGATACTCAGAGTTTCCTGCTTCTTGTACTGACTTATAATTCTGAAATTTAACAAACAGGTATCGAGTAGCATCTGCTACGTTGTTCATGATGTGATCAGTGCTTACCATCCATTCGCTTATTCCAGGGAACAGTTTTGTCATGTCCAGCCGGGTTTCTCGAGAGTCGCTTTTTCTTATACATACAAATACGACTAATTCTTTCACAGTTGATGTAACACTGCTTGTGTGATTACCCGATAAAAACGATAATTGATCCATAAAGAAAACATTCACATATTTCTTCCCACTTTCTTTGGTCTCGGATTTTGTCACGAAATGAATCCCTTTGCTGCCAAAGCACATTTTCATTTCGTCAGCAAACTTTTTTACGGACATGGTTAATAAGTCTTGTTCATAATCGTTATTGTATACAAATGTTAAATTGCCCAACACTTCTGGAGGTGGTGCCACTGGGGAAGTTTTGTTCATTGATGACGACTGTGGAAATGAAGGATTATTTAAGGAGGATGATGAATGATGGGATGAAATATAATTCTGGACTGGATATATTACTTTGTATTGTGGAGAGAGGTTTGTTGTGTTCGGTTGTGAATTCAGAGAAGAATTGACTGTTCCATAACCAGATGTGCTAAATTGTTGTTGAAAATTGCTTCCGAAGGTGGAATGGGTGGTCATTGGTCTTGTACTCTTTAACACATTCAAATCTTGTTGAATGTTGAATACTGATTTCTCCAGCTGATCCAATCTTGATGAAATTTTTTCAATAACGCGGTCTTGTTCTTTTGTCTGCATCCGCAGAAGTGTGGAAAATCCGTCAAAGATTTTGCTTATGGCTTGGCTTTCTTCGTAGTGACTAATTTGTGACGAGTTTCCTTGTCCCATTTTTTTGAATTCTTTGACGTGTCAACGTGATCACGATTATTTTGTTGGTGACAGCTTCGGTACAAGCGATTGATGGCCGTGTCTTGCCACCGATTGGTCACAAGAGGGTCTCCGAATTTCACCATGAGCTCCCATTATTAGTGCAAAATGGCCAACATTGTTTTTAACTCTTCTCATTTGTTCTTTTTGTCTTGCATGCTCTCCTCTTCATCGTCGTCTCGTTCTCTATGAAAATACAAATGATGCAAACGTTGAGAATGCTGTAATGGCTTTCCCTCCACAGTCATCACTTCATTTTGAGGCTTCAATGGTATTCCATAGCCACTCTCTGAAGCTCTTTCTTCCAACTCCTTCACTGCAAGACTCAAGTCTTGTTCTTGTTTTCGTTCTAAACTCTCTTGTATTTCAATTTCTCGTTCCAAGTTCTCAGGTCGCTATGATGAATGATTACCGATGGTGATGAGTTTGATATCAATTTCAACCTTAATACTCGAAAACGCATACGTACCTGTAAATGTGGTGGAAGAATCATCTTCCCAGATGGAAATACTCCTACACTTAATCTTCTATTTTCATCAATGAATGCATTCAATCGCTTCACATCGATATCATTCAGATCATCATTCTGGTCAGCTCCTCCCTGAGAGTAAAAACTTAATGTCTTCATGGATGAAGAAGGTCTTTCTTCGGTGGTATCTTCTCCATCCTGAGGTATGTGGTCAGTGGCAGCAGTGGATGTTGTAGTCATAGTCACACTACCAGTAGTAGTCGTGGTGGTCTCTTGATGCAACTGATCGGTTGTGTCTTGAGTTGAGGTGGCAGTCTTTGAGGTAGCAGCGGAATGTGCAGCATGTGTCGGTGATATTTTGATCAATTTCAGCGTATTTGGATTAAATTGAATATGGAAAAGGTAAAGTGACATGTTCAATCCATAGACATAATCATTGGCAAGGTGGCGCGTTTGTTGTGTGAAAAAGTGTACCATTAAAAAGAAAACCACTAAAAAGAATCCAACTGCCGACACAATATTATTCTTTCGTTGCTGTTCCAGAGCTGCAGGATCTGTTTCTGCATCACTTGTGTCACTCTTGTAAGGATGAAATTTTACATAATTTGAGTGTTCATTTGCATGGTTCGAATGTTCAACATTATTTGCAACATGTTGAGGAGGATTAAAATCTGCACCCTTGGTTCCGACTAATTGAATATTTTGAGAAGAAATGTTGTCATTCTGTTCGTGATCTTTAGAATGAATGATGTGATGATGCTTTCCAGGTGGAGGAGAATTTCGTGAGAGAGGTATGGAAGGTTTGGTATGATAATGATAGGAATAATAGTAAAATAGAAAAAAACAAATGATGGTCACTATTAACACCAAATTGTAAATAACTGATGTGACCATTCACAATTCAATGATTGAATTAATATTGAAATATTTGTAAAAAACAATAATAAATTATTTTGTAACATATTAACAATGATTGAAAAACACGAGAAAAATTATAATGATAATACACTACATCTCCATAATCGTTGAATCCGTAATTTATCCGAATAAAGTTGAGCAATGTGCCGTTCAAATGTTCTCAAATCTAAATGCATCATCAAGAATTAAATAATTTAAATTCATATCGGAAAAACACACGTGTTAAACACACAACAACCAACCTTTTTTACGTTGCCTGTCCAACACCACGGTCATTTGAATTGTTGAGAAGTGTGTCAATTTGTTTTGATCCGATATGCGAAACACAAGAAATTCAAAAAATAAGAAACGAAAGACAAAATCACTGAGTGATATCCCTGAGTGAGTGATGAAAAAAGGAATATTTTTTGAACCCTCATGGGATACATTATATTTGATACATTCTATATCGATTATACTCAGGGATATAAAAACATTCACTTTTTGAATTTGATACATTCTATATCGATTGACTCAACTATCTAATTGGATAAAATTCCCCATCGTTTAATGGAATATTAACAAGTTTGAGGTTTTCAAGGAGTGTTCATGAAGTGTTGAGAAATGAAAAGCACAAACTTTCAAAGATCGTTTGTGGACAATCCTTTGTTGCTCCTACTTGACAGAGGATGGAAAAGTATTTAACACTGGTTCCTTAGAGAAGAGAAATTCAGGCAAATGGAACCATTGAATGTACTTTCAAAGGAGGAGAAAGTCACCACTAGTTGTAATCATTGTAGTAGTATTAGTAGAAGCATTAGTAGTGGTGATACGGCAAGTGGTGACACCAACCATCAACTCAAAACAATGAAAATGACACAATCCATGAGGGCCATCTCAGTAATGTGATGTAAATTGCATGTTGGAGAAAAGGTTTCGCTTGCCTCATGGCTGATCGAAAGACAGTGATCTATGTGATGGACGGATTGATATTGAAAGGAGTTCAACTTGAATTTTGTGAACCAATCGAAGATTTATGTTGTGGTGATGAATCGGTTGAAGTATTAACTTGTGCCGAGCCGAAAGACTCAACGTTGAAACGTATTGGCCTTTACAGAGAATGGTCATTCTTATTCTTCATATCAACATTTGATTTCTGCCAAGAAAAGAACAATCATTCGTTACAAGGAAAATGTTTCAACTGTCTATGAATTTCAACCTATCGAGACGGGTATGGAAAGGTCATTACTTGGAACGCAACCTGTCAAGATGAGTCGAAATGGATTTGTTTACTTTCAAAGCACTAGTTTCATTTCTAATATTGAAAGTAAGGACATTCAGTTCATGAAGAGAAATTTATCCAAAGTACTTGTGATGTGTTTTCTGTCAGACATTGAAATACACCAGATTGGCCTATTAAATTAAAAAACTGATTCACTTTGCTGTTGTAATTGGTTCTTTCTAACAGAATTTGCTAGACGGTGCTGAAACCATACGAATTAAACATACCGTAAAGCGGGTTTAGCGCAGTCGGCAGCGCGTAGGTCTCATAATCCTTAGGTCCAGAGTTCGATTCTCTGAACCCGCAAAAGCTTTTTCGCATACTTTTATTCTTGGAACATTGGATTTGAAATTTAGAGGCATTTCGGCACTGACTTTGGAATTAGTTCCTTCATCATGATGAACAAATAATATCGGTCTTCTTTGAAAATCAGTGGTCTCATCGGTTGCACACATTTGTTGTGGTAATTATTTTCACAGTGTAGATAGTATGGGCTTTCCCATTAAGGTGAGGAGATGTCCATCGTGGATTTATAACAGGAAAAATGAAATCTTCAATCTGTGACGAAAATTCTAATGTATTAAGAATGAAAATTTATATCAAAAGGTATTGGTGCCAATGGATGGACGGCTGATCAATTGACCTCGAATGGCTTTAAAGAGTTCCCCCAATACACCAAATAATGATCCAAACTTGCTGTATCTTGTTGCACTTCTGAAAATACGACACCATGTTGCTTGGCTAATACAATACTTAAACCCTCGATCAATAATTTAACCTGAAATCCCCCTGAACCATTGTTCTTGTCAGAATCTTCATTGCCAATAATGGTTGTCTTAATACAATCCTCATCATCATTGAAATGATCATTTGTTTTGTTAATTGTAAAAAACAGTTCATACAACTGGCCATAGTCTTCAACCATCTTGTCTCCAACGAAAAAAGAGAGCTCTGAATTCTCATCAAATCCGTACAAGTATTCACGATGCATTTTCAAAGAAATCAAGACAAGATTCTCATTTCCAGGCAATTTGAAATACGCTTCAGAACTTAAATAATATTCAGCCACATATTCTACAAATGAAACATCTATGGAACAACCAGAGCCATATCTTACTAACTTGCTTTCAATGTGTGAAATCATATTTTTCAGGCCATTCTCTACCCGATTTAATGGCAACAGAGTATAATTATGCTTGGCATACAGACGGCAAGTTCGTTCTCTCAATTTGCAAAGGTCATACATGGTTCGGGAGGGGCTAGTTTGTCGACAACTTGAAAAATACTCATTTACAAGGGCATCCATGAATTCGACACCATCCAATTGTTCGGCACTTTCGTTTGGAATTGGACGAACTTGGTCGGTAATGGTATTCTTTTTGTCACGCAGTCTTTCTAAGGTATTAGAATACGGATAAGGGAAGGTTGGTTCAGTGATTTTCATCTTGTATGATCCAGAACATTTCATCAAGAATTTAGTCAAGCTCTTCCAATTCCAATCATTTGGTAGCTCAGTTTCTTCTAAAATTCTTTCGAGTACGTCTTTCAAAATGAAACCAACACCTTCTCCGTCCAAATCATCAGTGTGTGTATCATAGTCAAACAAGAAATCAATGATTACGATGTTAGTCTCGTCTTTGCCGAATTGGCATTCCATTCGATAAAATTGATCATAAGTTTCTGTACGTGTATTGGGACCTAAGCAATGATGTTGAGTGATTATCACATGATCTGCACTGTTCTTTTTCTGAATTTTAATGACACATCTTCCTCCTTGAGATCTAGAGTTAACTCCTTCAATCCAACGATAGTAGTGCACCACTCCATACTGAAATAGTTCAACATATTCTTCATTGTTCACAATACTTTTGTAGCTCGAATCGTTAGTATTTTGAAAATATTGACTCAATGGATTTTCCAACATTGTACCATTCTCTTCATTTGCATGAGTAATCAAATAATTTCGTATCGTAGCGTTCACTTTTGTAATTGCTCCATGAAAATAGAGGGCCAATCTCTTGGATGAATCTTGTTGTGCTTGAACTGTCATTGTTTGAAGGTATTCATCATGTTGACTTTTCAATCGCATCATCAATTGAATCAAATTCTTGACTTGATTTCCCTTATCCTTCTCCATACCACTTTTACTGCTTCCATGAGAAGAAGAAATATTCAATTCCTCCGACAAGGACTTGTTTACCAATCGGAACGATAATTGATCCTCGAGCACGAGAAAGTCAAAGATCGTTACAAGCACCAATGAATTCATCCATTCATTGTACAATCTTCCTTCTTGGAATTCAAACGCACAAATTTTCTTTTGGGTCTGGTGATCTGTGATTCTGCTCTCCGATGAATCCAGTGAATCATCTTCTTGTTTGTTGTTGTTTCCGAAATCAGTATCTTCAAGTTTTCGTTTTTCAGACATTTTTAATCCAAAAAAAAATGGAATTTGTGCGAAATAATTGGTTCACAATGTTCGTAATATTTGCTGGTGATGATTTTAGAATTGATGAAAAATTAAATTATAATCAATTAAACGAAAATTATTTTGAATGTGCTTTCATTTCATATTCATTTGGATCGGTGATGACATTCCGAATATTTGAATTAAAATTTATTGAATGGCCATATCGTTATGTATGTCCTTTTTCATGAACATTTCAACAGTGCAATGATGGCAACTTTTGGTAGTTATGCTTATGGACTTTTTGATGATAAAAGAAAAGGTGAAATGCTTGATAATGAAAAGAAAGAATATGAGAAGTTACTTCGAGAAAAGTATAGAATTCAAAAAGATCGAAGAATGTATGATCCTCCTCCAGCACATAATCCAGATAAACAATCATTGTTGGACATTGGAAGGAGAAGGGATTAATGAAAAAAGAACTTTTGATGATTGAGAAAAACTTGTTTACAAGATCATATAGGGATAGAACCATTCTTGGACCTTACACAAACCATGTCATTTTGATGGACAACTAACCACTTTGGAAAAACTTTGTGACGCTGTATTCGATGAAGATTTGCATTATAGAGACTCGATGAATTGCAAGAACCGAATCGCCGAACTGATGGACATTGAAGTCAAACTTTATAAAATTTTATACAAGAGTACTTCATAATTATATGAAGAAAACAGTTATTTATTGGACAAAGAATGGGCTTTGTATTCCAAGTGGAATATTTGTTGGAAATGCAAGTGGGACGGTCAAAATTATTCAGAATCTCTCTTTTGAAGAAGCTGATACTCTAATTGTTCGCTGTCCTTTGAAGCAATAGAATCTTGATATTCATTGTTTGATGATGGAGCATTTTGACTTGAAGCACCCCTACTCACTGCTGCCACCTCTTCTTCAGTCACCAAGGCGCTCACATGATGGTGAGCTTTAAGCAAGTACGTGTTGCAATTTCCTTTTCCTTTCACCTCTACACTTCGCTCTTCGAATTCGAACCCAAGATCGTAAACTCTTTCATACGTGGATCTCGATATCTTCGTGCGCATTATTTTATGATTTACATCAAAAATGTTAACATAGAGCGAGACAATTCAATACTTACTTGAATTCTTCCAGCCAAGGAAGTGGATTCCATTCGTGAAGCCATATTGATTGTATCTCCCCAAAGGTCTTTACGAAATATAAACAAACGCAAAAAAATAACATGTGTGTGTGACAATTAATTCTTATCAATTTGAAAGTTCCATACATACCATATGCAAACTGTCCAACAGGTACAAATGAACAGGCAGGTTAATGGTTATTATTATATATATCCAACGATTACCAACATACCTTCTTGGTACCAATAACTCCTGCTACAACTCCACCAGTATTAATTCCAACTCTGACATTAATTTGATGACCAAACTCTTTCCTATTTTCTAAATTGTAAGCTCTTAGCACATGGAAAATATCGATGGCAAATTTTAAGGTTCTTTCTGGATGATCTGATTGAGTATTACCAATTCTATGAGGTTGTAAATGTGAGGAAATTATCAGTTTCACAGTTAATAAATGTTCAATGTCTAAAAAATATCTGCTACTCACCCTCCAACGCAAAAATAGGCGTCTCCAATGGTCTTGATCTTCTCTAGTTGATACTTGTCGGTCAAGGAGTCAAATCCATTCACAACAGTGTTCAACATCATAACCAACTCGGTCGGATTCAATCCACTGCTAATGGAGGTGAAGCCCACCATGTCACTGAAAAAGCATGTGATATCATTGAACTTTTCAGCAATAAATGTCTCACCTGCTTTGAGTCTGTTGGCGACGGCTTCAGGTAATATGGAACGCAATAGATTTTCAGACTTCTTCTTTTCTTCTGCTAGTAAGGCATTTTGCTTCTTTTCGGAAGTAATGTCCTTAATGAAACAGGTAACCACAGGTTTGTTGTCGAACAGCGTTGAGAATAGGTTAACCTTGGCAGGGAATTTGGTATTGTTCTTTCGAATACACTCAACCTCTATGGTCTCACCTTGTGCGTCCGTTGAAGTATCCTTGGTTGCCTTAATAATGTCCTCAATCACCTTATTTAACTTTTCGCGATTGCTTGCATCAAAGAGATGGAACAATGGTAGTCCGACAAAATCACTTTGTTTACAACCAAACATTCTTTGCGCAGCTGGGTTAAATATCTCAATGTCGCCACGATGACTACAAAGTACGGCTCCATCCTGTTTTGAGGAATAAATAACAAAGATGTGATGTAACATGTAGGACAAAAAAAATCGTTTAACAACATTGGTATCTTGATGGTTGAAAAACTAAAAAATTAAACTTACAACAGCAGCATTCAAAATGTTCCTCACTTTGGAATCATCGTTCTTTGCATTTTCTTTTGATTCTCTCTTTGTTGTAAATATTCTTGAAGGAACGGTGTGATACATGATAAAGTTTCGCATAGACTCTTCTGAGTCCATGAGGTCCAACGGAATGTAGTTGAACATCATTCTTACATGGAAAATATTGTTCCAATGGGCGTTAAATATGCTATATAAACCAAAACAACAAGCCAAAAGTAACAAGCAGCCAACGATGGAGAAGGAAATAACATAGGCCACCGAAGACACAGAAAAAACAGCTACCATGGAATCGAGGAACAGCAATAACTTTTGAGTGATACCATGACCTAAAATGTATGTACTAACATGTTCCAAAAACAGTCTATGTACATCCGCCTTTGCAGAAAAGATATCAGCAGAATTTTGAGAGGACTCTTGAGAGTAAATCTCAAGTAAGTGTTCGAGACCCAGACATGTGGTTATGTTGTTGTTGCCTGTAGTAACACTTGTACAATTTGCGGCATCCTGAATATAGCTGTCAATTTTTGGGGAAATACCAACACTGGACTTCTTATTATCCGAAATTTTTCCATACACTAAGCTATTCCAACTAACAACTAGAGTTGATTTTAGAGATGATAAATTAGTGTTGAGATCAGAAATCTTTTTTCTTGTGGACAATCTTGGGTCGTTAATGGATGATTGGTTCAACATGAGATAGGTGTAGATTTCTCCAACATTAAATCCAATTCTTTGAACTGCAGAGAGTGCGGAAGTTCCATCCCGAATATTCTGCATGGTTCTAAATGTAGAGCTAGCGTTATAAGATGATTCCATGTAAAACATTCCACAACAAAGTACAGTAATACAAATCACTACAATCCCTAAAATCGATGCACTCATATAAGGTTTCAAAATGCTCTTTGGTAAGTGAATCGAAGTTTCATCCTCTGCTTGCTTTCCGAGATTGTGATAAATTTTACCCACAACGTCCTTAGGAACATTCTTTTCTAGGAGTCTTACATAGGTTTTCAAGTTTGAGAAGTTGACTGAAATATAAATGATATAAATGATGGAAAGAAATGCATAAATAGAATTGGAAATGACAAAGAATAAGAAAAAGCTATTCGATAACAACTCGGACTTGTCTTGAGTTCTCTGAATAAAACTCAAACAGAAATTATCAAACGCCTTTTCAAGGCTATCTTGATTCAACCAAAGGTACATGAAAGGGTATGACGATAATGTCTGAGAATATTGTGAGATATCAAGGTTTTGAAAGTATGTCATGTGCTTCATCATGGAATAGACAATCTCAGAAATAGAAACTGAGGCATAATAAGATTCGTTATACATTCCATTTGTATTGGGAACGCTTACAAACGGAACAACAACCTCCCTTGTTTCGCTCGTGTAATCACTATACATTTCTGCTGTGAACAGTCCTGCCTGACCCATTACTCTGACCTTATTAATAAACGAGATGGCATCTCCTAAACGATTTTGATGAGTTGCTACAAATTCTTTAAAAGATTTGTAACCAGTTTGGTTAAGAAAGTTATCTCGTTCTGCTACGTTCTTATTTGATCCATAGAGGTAGTCAAAGGTTTGAAGTATTCGCAAGTCTTTCAAGGCATATAAAGGAATCATTCTTGGTTTGCATGCACTCTGAACTGCTTGAATATCTGTCAGAACAAGTTTTGAAATGATAGAATTCCAAACTATACCGGCAGCAACAATAAGAAATGAAATAATTGTAAAAGCAAAGAAGGTAATAAGTTGGAAGGAATGTTGCTGGGGTGTGGCCAATGATGATCTCAAAACGTTCTCTCTCTTAAGCTGAGGATTGTTTTCAACACCATCCAATCTTTGAGATCCAAGATCCATCTCAGATTGCCTCTCAAAGTTATCATTTTCTAAGTCGTCAAAGTTATCATTGAAATCGGTTGAGCCACCAACAGCGCTCTTTCTATGGGCCCCAAATGAAAAACTTTTGAGGTTGGAATCTGCGAATTTTGTTGAAGGTGGAGGTGGAGCTTCTTCGAAATTCATGGAGAAGTTGGGAACAACTCTGTTCTTTTTCCCTCCTCCCTTCTTATTAGGTCGAGTCTTCCATTTGGCCTCTTCGTCCTCAATAGCCATTGCTTCTTGATAGAGTTCTTGTGACAAATCCTTGTTGAATTTAAATTTTTCTACATAGGAAGCATAATATCTAAGGACCGTCTTGTTGTTTCTGTGTTTGGCCATTAAATTGTTGAAGGTATTTTCACATTCAGACATGAGTTCTGAAGCTCTTCGGTTGGTTTGTTCGATCTTATCAAGATTGAGAACATCATTAGTCATTTCCTTCCAAAACGATCGGTGTAAGGCAAAAAGTTCTGTTTGATTCTTGTCCATTCTCTCTAAAAAGAACTTGAGCTCAAATGAATGAGAATTGTCTATCATTTCAAACTCTTTTTCCCTCTCTGCAATCAAAAATTTGTAAATAAAGTTTGGTTTTGCTTTGATGGCCTTTTTCAGCAAGCTTGTTGCAAACACCTGGCTGTTCACTTCATTCTTCCAATAATAGGCAACGATTAAGCTGCACGTAAGTAATAATCGAGCATCACTAAAGCTCTTTTGTAGTGAGGCTCCCTTAATTAGACTCAAAGCAATTTCTACATCTGTAATTTGCTCAGCTTCTGTCTTGTTGGTAGATTTCATGGAAAACTTCATAAACATGTTCAAATGACGCAGGCGACCATCTTCTTCAAATTCTTGATATACCAATGACGCCTCTTTTTCAAGCATCTTCAGAGGAAGCTTTTCATTTTCCTGCAAATTTTCGCTTCTTCTTAGAATTGAGGACAAGGCTTCTGCTCTCTTTATACTAATCATGAAACGACCTCTAACCTTGTTGTAAATGACCCTCGTATAAATTTCCAAACCAGTGAAACTTAGCAGCGCTCCAACAAGCATCAGGCCAATTGTCATTCCTGATAAACCGATTCCTAATTCTGACAATCGATTAGTATTCACCAAGGATGTAATAAGAGCGCCAATTGCTGCTCCCATTCTTGCTCCAAACATTGCAAAAACAGCAGAATTTTCAATTCTTCTGTAAAAAGGTAAATAAAAAACTAAAAGGATCATTAGGATTGCTGTGAAAAAAATGTGAATGATCGATCGAACATAGATGTAGGGCTCAGGAATGACATACATGGCCAGAAGCTGAAATGGGTTGAAAACGGCAAGAAAGGCCATGGTCAAACCGTTGTCCGAAATAAAGAATCCACCGATTGTTTGCTCAGACTCTTGATTGATCATCACAATAAGGAAATTGATGATCAGCAATGCCAATAGCGAAATAATAACCAAAACAATAAGTACAATGTTTCCTTCAGAAGAGCATGGTACGTTATCAAATCTGGTAAGCAAGTTGACCTTCTCATCGTAACCTTCAATCGCAACAAGTTCCGTTGACTTGCAATCAATAAAGCTGGAGAAAATGAATGTAATAATCATGCTAAGAATATGAACAATATTGCCCAAAAGAGATGCTGTCTTCTTCAAGCGATCTAAATGTTTGCTTGATCTAAAAATTGCATGCATTGCAAGCCCAAAGCTTACCAACGTGCTCAACACCAACACAATACAAGCTGCTGCAATCGGAACAATGGCAACATAAGGCACAAGGTCCAGAGACAAGGTAATTGGATAGTTGGCCACCGTAAAAAGCCAGTCTCCCCATTCACCCCAATTATAGTGACCTAGAGTTGGAAGAAGCAAAGTCACCCAGAATATGTACAAGTAGTAAAGGCCTGATATTGTTTTTTGCTTCCATCCATAAACTTTTGGATCTGAGGCTTGCATTGATATGACAAGCCTGGTAAAGCCTTGTTGAATGAGAAGCCATAATGAAGCATAGAGAGACGAATTACCGTTTGCTTCATTGGAAACGCTTGAGCCTAGTGCTGATCCCTCATGATTTGGGTCCATTTGAATGAAAATTGGAAGATAGTAATTGTTTCAAGATGTGGTGATTCGGAGGAGAAGAGTGGATTTACGCGAGTTGAAAGAAGATGAACGATGAAGACACGAAAGGTGAATACTCTCAAAATTGTTGTTCGTTGGAAAGAAAGCCTTTGTTCGTGAATGATGGGTCAACGGCCAAAGCATGATTATTGGTATTCAATTAGCCGACTGGATCACAACAACATACCTTTGACTGGTCAAGCACTATACTTCGTACGAATCTGGTGAGTGGTTGCTCAAGTTTCTTCGTTCGTTCGTACGATAATGCCCAATAAATTATTAAATGTGGCAGGCCGATAAAAGGGATTACTCGTTCAAAATGAATGGATGATTTTCTTTGTAGTGAACGCGTGGTTGAGATGTTGTTACTTGTAAGCCTTATGATGATGCGATGATGGTAGCACCGAGTCAATTAAGGCTGAAAATGAAGTTGATTGAGGAAGAACGGGTCTTTTTTTTTGCAGTTAAGTTTGTGGTAGAGTTCTGGCGCCAAGGTCCGACATCCAAAACTTCCAAATCAAGTAGATTCAAATCATGACGACGAGTATCGACCACGACGATACGAATCTACTTGATATTATTATGTTTCGAAACATCGTGTGGGCCTTGATGATTCATCTTGTGTTTGATATAGTGTGCACATCACTAGAATCTTCTGGAAAAAGGTCTGTTTGTGTTGTATATTCGAAAGACTTTTCATCTTTCTCTGAAGAAACTGACGTTTGGGTTAAATTGACACTGGAGCGCTCTTGGTCACTTATTCGGAGTTCCTGGATGATTATTTAGCGATTAGCAAACCATTCTGTCAGAAATACTAACCTATTTCTTTTGGTTTCTTTGTGTGGATTGAAATTCTTTTGTATGAATGTAAAAGATTGTTTATAACGTAACGGCAAAACAGATACGTGTGTGAATGTTGGTTGGAAATGGAGATTCAGAAATTCCGAGAAAGGTGTACTGTAAAATAGTGCTTCTCATCCATGTTGGTATAAGACGAAAAAACCTCGCAAAATGGCGATGAAGATTCGAAAATGGAATGTATGACGGAGGTGTGTTCTTTTCTGTCATGAAGAAAAAACATTTCTTCCTCCAAACGTCAGATGCCAACACGCCACAAGCAGCAGTTCATACTCAACAACACCTTCATCACTCCAAATCGTTTCTTCTGCGCTTATCATTTAAAACTCACCAGAAAATCATGTCTCGCTTTGTTGGTCTTTCAGTTCTTTCTAATGTGTCTTTTAATCTTTTATTTTGTGTATCGTCGTCGTGTGGGTGGTGTTTCCGTCGGTGATGATGACCAACAACAACAACAAATTTCATCATTCCTCTTTCAACAACAAGAACAACAACAACAACAACAACATTCAGAACCAAATTCTCTTCTTCGTTCTCTAAAATCTCAAACCTCTCCTGCCACTAATCATCCTCATCCCAATTCATACATTATGGAAGACCAAGATGGAGTCATTCATGCCTTTGATCTCGATAACCAACGTTTAGAATGGTTACGCAAAAACCTCACGACACGACTCAATATTTCGTTGGAACATCATTTAGCCACACTCGAATATCAAGAATGTTCAAAACTCACCGATGCCGAACGATGGTATGATCCCATTCATACCTTTGTATCGGACCGTATTTGAAAATGATTCCATGTTGGAATTTCCGAATAGTACTCCGAGGCATGTTCCGTACTATTTGACTCCACAGCATGTCCATTTGTTTCAACCATATACATATCCGACGGAGGATCGAATAGAAGCTAAATTTGCATTCAAGAGAAGAGTGAGAGGTTTTTATAATTTCATTCCTGTTGTTAACAACAACGTTGTTGAAAATCATGATGCTCAGAGGGGTCAAAGTGGTGATGGTGGTGGAAAAGATGGAGAAGATGTAAAAGGTCACCCGCTCCAACATTCTTCATCACATCGAAATGATACAATGAATCAAAATCATAATCATACGAGAGGTCGTAATGCCTTCTTTTCATCGTCGAGTTCAGGAATGGAATTTCAGAATCAATCTCAAGAGGAAACAAAAAAGAATGCATCCACAAATGCTACTGCCTCTGTTTCTTCCTCCTCCTCCTCCATGAAATACATTCAAATCAAAGAAACTGAATTTAGAAATTATTTTTTCACACATCGTGAAGAATTTCGTCGAGCAAGTCAATTGCAAGTCAATGATAGTGCTTTATTGGATTGGAGAGATGACATGAATAATTTGAATTTTGTGTTAAATTCTGAAAAATTTGACATGTCTCTTTTTGGAAATCATAATGAACATTTGCCCATATGGTTGAGATGTTTCAAGAGAACATTTCCACTCGTTGAAACATTGAAAGCAGTGTGTCGAGTTCATGACATTGAAAAAAGTATAATCTATGTGACCATTGACGGAAATGAATTTGATGAAATTTTAGAACTTCTCACCACTGTGACATGTGTGAAAATGCACATTTATTTTCACAATTTTGAACGCAATTTACGAAATTTACTTGGTGATCGTTTCGATCCTTCCTTCCTCGATATGAAAATTCCCAAAATGTCCACTCATGCCATCTGGGGTCTTCATTTACTCTTTGTCAAGTACAGTTACCTCTATGTCATTACATTAGAAGATGATTTAAAACCATTACCTGATTTCTACAATTATCATCGATCCATGTATCATTTAACCTTAGATCCAAGTCCTTCCAATATTTATATTGCAGTGAGTTCACATGCTCATTCCATGTCTCATCATTGTCGTTTCATTAACACCACACTCGTCACTGAGCAATTAATTCCCTATGAAGATTCATTCGATGAATACATGTATGAAAAGATCATTTCGTATGGCACGAATCTCAATGATGATGAGGGAGATTTGGAATTGGCACCTTTCATGAAAGGATCACGGAGAGAAGTTCCTGAAGAATTAGTCACAACAAGAGTGATGAACACAGAATCACAAGAAGAAGAAGAACCAAAACAAATAATGATCATGATGGATGAAGAAATAGCACCTGGTGGTAGTAGTGACTCGAAAGTGAGATCTTCCTCATTTCAACCGATGAAACCATCACACGAGCATGTTCGAGTCGAATTGAAACAAACACCACCACCACCACCACTACACAATAGTTTATTAGGAAATGACATGAAAGACACATCTGTTAATATCAATAATAATGAAATTGCTGTCAAGACTACACCTCCTGCAATTCCAAGTAGAATTGAAAAAAGCTCACCATTAATGGAATCAACAACAACCACAACGACGACGAAATCCTCATCAACTACTCGTGAGGATGGTGTTGCTGTTGCTGCTCCTCCTCCTCTTTCATTACAAGAAAATCACGAAAAGAAACCATCGGATGTACCTCCAAGCAACGTTCAAAGTGTCGAATCCTCTCATGTGACTGACACGAAATTTACAACACCAGAAACTTTTGAAACAAAGCCAACAACTAGCTCCTCAACATTAGAAAGACCAACAAGTTCAGAGATTGGATCATCCAAGAACGAAGAAGAAGAAGAAATGAAACACATGATTCAGAAACAAGATGTGGAATCATTGAAAGCAGCTCTCCTCAAAGCATTTCTTAACGAAAAGAAACATCAAGAAAAGAAAAAACAACATATGGTTGTCAAAGTGAAGGAAAAGACTTTTCATCAGAAATCATCAAAGTATGCTCGTCGTCGTCACCTTCGTCATGGTCGTCGTAACACTCTCTCGATTCAAGAAAGCAATACAAGTAGTAGTAGTAGTCCAACAATATTTTCAACATCTCCTCATGAAGAGTCCTCTACCTCCACAACTTCAACAACATCCAATTCTTCATCCACCAACGAAAACAACAACAGCAACGACTTGAGCATGATCAACAACACTAGCGAGAATTCACCTTCACAGCCTCTACAAGAACCATCATCATCACCAACAAGAATTACAAGAGCTCCATCCTCTCGATATCCCACTCCTGAACTTGCTCCACCACCTCATTCCATCATTCCTGTGAAAACTCCACGTCAATCGTTTCACATGAAACCTGAAAATTTTCAATGCACATGGAAACACACAAATCAAGTCTTTCTCTCTCAATGCTTTTATTGAATATTCCATTTTCAAGACTGATAAATGGTACTTTTTGGGTGTTCTTATTCGAGATTTAAGAAAACCTCATGAGAGAAGTATTATGCCATGTTCAGATCGAATTACAAGAATTGATAATTTAGGACAAAATGGTGCCAAGAATGGTGAAGTGAGATATTGGGAAATTGCAGCTGATTTTTGTGAGTATTATCAAGAAAAAGAAAGAAGAGAAGGAATTTCACACAAGAGACAATATGTTTTTATTCCTTCTTATTAATGCATTGATTTTAAAAGTAATTTTCCACAAGTGAAGGTAAAATATGATCGTGGAGACCTTGCGATGGTGGTTTCAACTGATATTCCTTGTGAAAACGTAGGCATATGCACCCAAATATTGTTTCCAGAATATATTAGTATTTGAGTGAGTTAAAGCTGACAAAACAAATTCTTTGTCTTCACGAAAGCATTGTGGAATGTCATTAAACGAACAAGGTCTATCACTTTTAAGAGCAGCCAAGATTATTTCTTTGTCATTTCGAAATTCTTCAGGTATTACATACATCCCAAATTTCTCCTCCTGCTTAAATAAGATTCTTCCATTTCTTTTCATAAGAGCCAAAACTATTTCTCGATCGTTTTGAAGTTCTGATAAAATGTCCTCATATCTTATGTCACCAAAAGATTATCATTCACAGCTTTCAATACAAAATCTCTGTCCTTTCTCAAATTCATTGGTCCATATTTCAAAATGAGATCCAAATCTTGGCGTTTCAAAAAAGATTTTTCATCGTTCTTCCATGCTGAGTCATAATCCTTGTAAATTCTGGTCAATACTTGGTCAACAATTAGATCATTATCGAGATAGGTTTTACGTAATTCAAATAATGAACGTGCAAACTTCCCTTGTTCATTGAGAGTGTATTGATGATTGTGGTGTGCTTGATAATACTCATCTGCCAATTCAGCAAGCATTTGAAGTGCTGCTGGTTTCATTAGATCCTTGTGATGGCGATAAGGAATTCTTGCATCTTTGAGAAATAAAAGTTGAAAAATATTCATCTTTTCATACATGGATATCTTGGTGTTCCAATCTGATAAATAGATCCACTTATCGAAATATTTCTCAGGATCACAAGTTTGGATTTGTTCCTCTTGAATTTTTCGAAATATTTCTCAGGATCACAAGTTTGGATTTGTTCCTCTTGAATTTTTCCCTCTGAAACTGATCAATCAAACACATCAACATCGATGAGTTCAATAGTGGTAGTCTTGAGAAGGTGAAGCAAATTGAAAGTTGGGTTTCTATCCATTATTTCCATATGATCTCAGTATTCAATCCTCTTCCGAATCGTTTTCATCAAAACACCCTGAAGAACATTGTTCAAAGATTTCCCAACTTGCATTCCCAAACAAATACTCTTTCCATGAATTGTATTTCTTGAGTGGAGCATCCTGTTCGATACAGAAATCCGACTTTGAAAACACGTTTGAATGTCCCTCCAACAGCTTGATTGGCTCTTTCAACAAGTGATTTTGAGGAATGTGACATCCAAAATATTCAAATTCCAATCTCTGGCCTCTCAAACGGTACAATAATGAAGCAGCTTCGTCCAATGAAATTTCTTCTGCATTTCGATCATTGAAATATTTCTTGCAAAGCCAATTTAAGAGATTCTTTGTCATTACACCACTGTGTTTCACATATTCGGAAATAATTTCATCATTTACAAGAACATCCTTGGTCTCTAATAAATAGTCCATAATGTGTGGATATTCTGTCACACATTTCAAAATAAAGTTTGTATCCTGTTTAAAATTGATGGGAAGGTGCGATAACATTTCGCCATCTTTCTTTATGGCAGCAATGATGATATCTCGATCATTCATTTCAACATATCTTGAAAATTGATAGTCAAGTAGATGATCGTCCATTTCTGCATTTTCCAGTGCTGTCAAAAGACATTCTTTGTCTTTGTGAAATTGATGTGGAATGTTGTTATATGAACATGGATTTTCACTCGAAAGAGCAACTAAAACTATCTTCTTGTCATTTCGAAATTTTTCATATGAAATTTCATTGAAAATAGTTCCATTCCTCTCGACAGCTTTCAACACAAAATTTCTGTCGTGTCTCAAACAAATTTGTGAGTATTTCATCATGAGTCTCAAATCCACACGCTTCGAAATAAATTCTTCATCATTTTTCAAATCTCCTTGATCAAAATGCATGTAGACTCGATTCATCACTTGTGCAAATAGAATAACATATTCATGATCCCCAAGTTCTTCTTGGAAGGATTCTTCCCAATTCTCAAATAATGATCGAGCAAATTGTCCTTGTTGTGTGAGATGGCGTTGATAATTCTTATGTGCTCGATAGTACTCATCAGGTAAATGATGAAGCATTTGAAGCACCAATCTCAACATGTCCTTGTTGGATAGACAAAAAGGAGCATCTTTGAGAAATAATTGTTGAAAGACTTGCATGATCGTTTCCAATGGTAGCTCATTGAGAATGTCCTGACCTATGTGATTGATTAATTCTGGAATATTACATCTTGTTGAAAGAAGGTCTTCCTGGATTGTTCCATCATCCTCATTGATAGAAGTTGTGTTCAACAACTCCATTATAAATTTTGTATCTCTTTGCAATTCTTGAGATAATTCTGGAAAGACGTCATAGTTGGAACGAACCATATCCATACAGAATTTTCTGTCCTTTTTCAACCTTTCAGATGCATATCGCGTGTTCGAAGGGTCACGTTGAATGGCTTGTTTCACAACTTCTTCATTGTCTCGTAATCTTTCTGAGAGTTGAAACAATTGACACCATTCAAAAGTAAGTATATGCATGGCCTGATCAAAATCATCAAGGTCAAATAAAAATGTAAATTCCCACTTGTTTTGAAATATCTCTGAAATTTCTTTTTTATATTCAAAGAAAAACTCTTTTGGAATGTAATGTAAAATTTTCATTTCATAGCAAGAAAGGGATTTCAAAATGGATGTTTTGAAAGGTCTCCAAAAATCAATTCTACCTATCATTTCTTCATTATTTTCACATAGTTTTGAAATGTCCATGCTTGTTGTGATCCATTTCATCGGAAAGTACCAAGAGCCATCACAGAGACGTTTAATCACATATTCCTCATCATTCATGAATTCAATTTCTATGGGACCGTGAGATTCTTTCAAGACTTTCTCCTTTGCCTTTAACCATTTGCAAAATCCTTTCGATTGATTTTCAAATTTTTGTTGCAAGAGTTGATACATCCGATCCACCACCAATGGTTCCGACAGGAGATGATGAATAATTTTCACGACCACAGGTTCTTCTGACGAGATGATGATGCTATTCGATGATTTTGTGTGTTTGATTGCAGGAGGATCAAGTGCTGCTGTGGCGCAATCATGATGAGAGAGTCTTCGTTTCATTTTTTGATGGTGAAAGCTGACATTTTCATTCGCAAGCTTAAT